GCCAAGCCTCCCTCTCTGAGGTGGAGCCACGCGACTCTCCTACTTACCTGGAGCCCTCCCCACTTCTCATCTGCAACCAGCTCTTGCCGCCAAACTTGCGCAAACACCATCATCTTCACATCTTCCATCTCTCTGCTCAAGCTTGCGTGCAAATGTCCAGCTGGGATGGGACAGGCAAAGAAACACACGTATATATACAGAGCCCTTTATTTCTGCAGAATTAAGCCAAAATTCTTTTGGTATGTTGGCTTTTAAATTGCTGCCTTCATTGCTCACGGGAGGTGCTTTTGTTCTTAATTCCTCAGCAAAACGTGCAAGCAAGGCCTGACTGCCTCTTCTCTGTCTCCTTGAGTACCCATATCCTCCTATATTTTTTCCCTGAATCCTCTTATGGATGTTTCCCTGGATCTCTATTTCCATAGCCTGCTTCTCTTCTCGTATTTGCTGCTAAAGGTGTAGTGCTGAGAACAAAATCTGTATTTTGGTGCACTGCTTTGCCTCACCATGCTCCGTGCAGCAGCCTCTTGTTTTATGTTTGCTCACTGAGCAAAGGATATTGCAAGAGACGGATTTCTTTTGCCCAGACTGCTTGATGCTCTCCACTGGGCTGACTGGACATGAGGAAGAGGTATCTGGAAAGAGGGAAGGGGCAATAAGAAATGAGCTGCAAATTAAGACAAGAAGTCAACATCCCAAACTATAACCTGAAGCATAAAAGTTGAGGTGGTTCAGTTTGGAAACTTTTCACTTAGATGATCTAAACCTACAAATACGGAATACAATAACGTAAGAAACATAGTACACCAATACTGTAAAGCTTAAAAAATTAATCACATTGAAATGTTAATGACAAAGCGGATATATTGCATTTTTGATTTTGTGTGACTCCAACACATTCCCATCAAATCCATAATCAAAAGTGGTGTGCTCTCTCAAAACACAAATACCTTTGAAACAAAATACAGCATCAGCATGTTTCATCAGACCTTCTTACAGGATAGAAATATTAAACAAACATTTCCTTTCTCACCCTAATTATTGAACAGTATATGAAGTAGCAAAGATGAATTCACTTTAATGAATTCTGTGAAGTTTTAAATAAGGAGGAAAAAGTCTCTTTACTGTTTATAACTTTGCAGCGACGTAGCTGGTCTTAATTTGCAGAAATGATGTTTCCATATAGCAAAGTGAACCACTTTCATTATCTCAGTTTCCAAGTAGGGAAACTGAGGCATGAGGCACAAACTTTCTTTCCCCAAGGTCATTGAGCAAATGAGCAGCAGAACGGATCAAAACCCATAGCAGGAGTGCCCTGCTGTAACCACTAAGTAGCATCGCCTTCATTTAACACAGACCATTATCAGTTTGCAAATGCTACTGATGGAAAAAGACCTGCTGGGTCCTTTTGCAGCTCCCTGTGAGCGCAGGCTTTTTCCATGCCATGTGCTGTAGACAAAAGTGCTTTATACAATCCCTACATTAAAATAATTCAAGCAGGAGGACAGCTCTCATTTCCTTTGGGGGAAACAATTCTGTAGCTGAATAGATTGCAGCATTAGGAAATATTTCCTGATGTCCAGCCCCTGCCACAGCTTCTAGAATCTGTTGATGTATTATTAATAGAAAGGAAAATAAATATAGGTATTAATGCCAGCAGACACTGTCTACTACTAATAGCTGCTAAAGTAATATATTCCCCTTGTTTTTAGCTTTTATTAGTCTTTTTGCAAAGGGTTACAAGACTCTTAGGCATCCATTAGCCAGTCAGCCATGTGAAATTAATGTGGAGCAATTTTCATAAGCATTACTCAGAACTAATAATAATTAAGCATTATTTTCTGCTCAGATAACACAGAAAATAAAGTCTGACTTTTATGCCAAGATGGGTTTGCATTAGCTTAAGGTAGATGAATTAATTCTCATTTACAAGGCTTCTCCACCAGCTAGCCAGAAAATATCAAGGTAATTAAAACCAATTTGAGAGGTTCTGTCCCATTGCACATTCACTGAGTTTTATCATTGCTGCAAATTACAGGTGCTTTTATACCGTCGCAAAGGTGGGACATGAAGGAGACCTTGCTGCTTGCCTCCTTCCCCATCACTTCCAAGAAAAGCAACCTCCTTGTGACGACCAGAACACGTTTTGCAATGCACTTTGTTGCTGGAGAAGCAACGAAGGACCACGCGTTGCATGAAGGACCAGCTCAGTCCCAGCTCAGGCTGGGACGTGGACCTCTCAGCAATGCATGTAATGCATTTCCTCTAAGAGAGAGGTAAAAAAAAAGCTATTTGCTTCTGATTTACCATTTACTTGCAAGGGCTTAATTTTGGCTCATTACCAAGCCAAGGGACTTCTGTGGACAGCATTTTATGGATAGCTCAGAAACAGTTCTCTTCAGCCAGCCAGATTTTTCTCTATTGCCTTTAACAACCAAAACCCAGCGTTTGCAATCCAGGTAAATAAGACTGATTAGTTATATGATGCTACACCTTCCAACACTGGCCAAAAGATTTCTTGTCCTTTTTCTAGCTTAAGGAGATACTGAATTTGACGTGTAGTCATGTCCCAGCAGCTTGACATATCACCTGAGCAGCTGCTGTGGTCCCTGAAGATGCTCTTAGCTTGGGCCAGCTGCAAGACAGAAGATACATTAGTCCAGCTAATAATTAGCTGTAAGAGACATTAACCCAGAGCTGTCCTACCAACAGCTAAGCTAATATGCAACTGAGTAAGCCAAGACCTTTCTTAGGGTTTCAGCTTTCCAAGGGGAGCAGCTGCTTCAGATGCCACGTCTTGACTTTGCGTCTGAGCTTAGCAAATAACTCGGCCTGATGTGCCCCACCAGTGTGGAAAATCTGTGTTTTTCAGAGGATTATGGCCTCTCTTGTCTGTGTCCTGGCTCTCATTTCATCTCTACGTCCTCTCCATCGCTCCCCTGTCTCACTGTCGTGTCTCATTTTGGCATCTGTGGCCACATCAGTGAGAGGGAGCAGGTTGATCCGAGACACGACTGTATAGGTCAGCAGCAAAAGAAGAATGAGACGGTAGTTCTGACTTTTATTATGTTTTGAAAAATCTTCTCTAGAGTAATCTAATTGCTATTAAAGAGACAAATAAAAGGAGACGACACTCAAGAAACAGCAGCTGTGTCTCAGCGCTGGAAGGAACCACCCTGGCATTTGCACGGTTATCCACGCCTTCAATGAAGAAAGGTTTCCCCCTTATGGCTGTCTCAGTCTCGATCCAGCCACGGTAGCTGTAAACAGACACTAAGATCTCATGGTTTGGCTTTTCTGCACAATCTTCTCCCCAGCTGACGATGCCGACCTGAAACCACTTCATGGTGTTCCAGTAGCTGCAAACCAGAGGTCCCCCGCTGTCTACCTACGGCATAAGGAGGATGTTCTAGCAGGATCAAACTCAGGTCTCTCATAGCAGCTGCATCCCACACGCTGTTTGGGAAAATCAAACTCTATGCCGAGTTCATGAGGATTTGGGGGAACAAGGAAATTTTGGACTCAAAATTTCACGGCTCAGCCCTGAGATCCCAGCAGAATAAATAGATACAGAAGGTAAGAGGAGGAGATCAGTCACAAGCTCCGGCTCGGTGCAATGCCCTGACCTTCTCAGCCTTTTCCACGTGCTCCCATGGCCCCAGAAGTATACCTGAATCCTGTCACCAAGAGACAACATCTGAGAGTGAAAAGAGACGTTTGCTGTGACTGCTCACTCAGTCCTTGACTTCTCTGCAAAACTGGTGCATGTAGGTGCTAGGTACCTGCCACTGTTAATTTTGGGGGCTTAGCATCCAGAAATTGGACAAGAGATGAACACTAATCCTGACAAATCCTTCTTGCAACCACGGTAATTTTACTGAAAACTTGCCTGCTGCTGCCAGGGCAGCCATCACTCACCCAGTGTGTGCAAGCCTTCAAATGCACGCTGCAGCCACCCTGCGGAGAGGAATGTCCTCCTGCTGGCTGCTGTAGCTTGAACACCAAGAGCACGTCCAGCTGCCCGTGTGACCTCTGCGTGCAATCTCTGAACACAACCCGAGGGAGATGAGATACCAGCACAAAATCCACCCAGCCCGGTACAGCACTTTTCTGACAGTTATGTACATCTTAAGCGCTGCGCAGCCCCTGCTCTAAGTAAGACGGTTTCCTTCCACAGTGGGTTTGAGTCTTTTGTCTACCCTATCTCCAGTACTTCATGTGGCAAATAAGAAATTCAATACAAACCCATTTCCTAAGGACAGCCAGCTTTCCTGGGAAATGTTGTCCTTCCCTCTTTGCACACTGCTTTGAGAAACATCTTTGTCATTAATGTATCAACCCCCTTCTGCCAGCAGCTACCCTGAGCTAACGCACATTAATTCATGACTAAGGAAGTGGCTGCAGTCCCCTGTGCGACCCATCGGCACCCGCTAAAGTTTATGGCAGAATTCCTACTCACTTCATGAGATGGAGGGTCCAGGTCCATGATACGTTTATCTTTTTTATTTTTTTTTCTTTCTATTTTTCTTTTTAGTTCAACATGCATACAGGAGGGAAAAACGAAGATAAATACAGAGCAAATGTTGCTTCAGCATTCATAGAATCATAGAATCACAGAATCATTTAGGTTGGAAAAGACCTTTAAGATCATCGAGTCCAACCATAAATTCAATACTGTTTGCGCTGAAATGGTGTCACTGTAGCTATGTGTCTGCATCTCAGCCAGTGCTGCTGGACCCTCTTCAGACGCAGGATCTAAAGACATTTCCAGACCCCGTTTCTAGCCAAGAATTTGTGTGAATCGCACAAGTGACCTTGCAGTGACCTTGGATCCATGCGTTATCAGTGTCCTTGGTGATGGCATCCTGTTTGAATGAATGAACATCTAGGCTACATGAACAATTAAATTACTGGGAATTTTACTGCTAACTCCCTCAGGGCAGGAACAGGCCAAACATATTACCCTGGTAGCGAAAGGAAGATGCTTCGAGCCTCCTACACAGAGATAATAAATGAAGTCAAGAGAGTGGGAGCCGTTCGCAAGCCAGTGACGCAACAACGTCTGACAGTCCCTCATCAGTGATATGTCGGGATGCTTCGTGCCGGCTTTTCCCAGTACAGGAGATTTTTAGCACTGGCCGAGCCCCTGCACACCGTCGGGGCAGATCGGCTTCAGAGCGTCCAATTCGGAGGCTGTTCACACTTGTAAAGGACCTTTCTCCCAGGGCGCTTAAATACTAGTTAATTCCTGATACCTTGTGACTATCCTTGGAGGGAAAAGTCTTATCATATTTCATAGCTGAGAAAACCACAGCAGAAAAGGGATGTGATGTGCACGAGGCAATGGCAGCGCCAGCAATCCCTATTCAATTACAGATCATGCGGTTTTCCTTTCAAAATCAGATCTGCTTTTCCCTGTTTGCCTCTTTAACCATGTTCGTTCTGTTCTCTGCCCGGTCGGCGAGGAAAGGGAGAGCCGTCTGCAGGGCTCAGGGGACTGTCAGCTGCGGAAGGTGATTTAAAACCTGGGCAGAGGGGGAGTTAGACAACGCTGTGAAAACCCAGGCAGCAGCTGCAAATCCAGTTCTCTAATCCACTAGCCCTGAGACCCAAATTCTGCTTCACATCCCTTTCCACATGGGCTGAGCTGGTCTGCTTCATGGGTGCAACTTCTAACATGCCATTTCTCTTAACTTCAGCTTCTTAACTCGATGATCTTATCACAAAGTGGGCTAAATCATCCTCTCCATGTGATAATCTTGCTCACATAATTATAGCAGTAGCCCAGATGAATCAGTAGCCTGGGTTTTATAGGGCTAAAGATAGAGAAGATAAACTCAGTTCTTGGACACTTCTGAATATCCCTGTATCCACCTTAAGCTCTCAAAAACTTTGGCCCAAGATTTTCCATCCTTGTGTAGGAGAGGGTGTGGGAGGAGCGAGTTTTGAGCACTGGTACAATTATCTCAGCTCTGTGATGTTTCCAGTAGCACTAATTTAATGAATGCTCAAGTTAACAACTCTGAAGATCGAAGAACTTATTAAATGCTGCTTTCAGCCTCCTGTATCCTGGTGGTGAAATAATTCTGGTCAGCAACACACACCAGATACCTGCTCCTGCTCTTCAGTCTGAGTGCCAAGTTTCTGGACAGTAAAAAACCTAAAAATAGCATCTTTGCTTCTGTGGCATGTTTCTTGTCGCTAGAAGATGAGTGAAAAGCAACCACATCAAATCAGATCTGGTGCTGAATTCATGCCTTCCACAACTGCATGTTAATCCTCCCATTAGGAGAGGTGAGAGCAATGATATATTCGCTGATAAATAGTTCTGGCTTGTATAAAATCTGTCACCGACTAACAAGGCGCTTTGTTCACTGAAGCTGATCAAAAGTTTCATCCTTTTCACCGCGGTCAAAGCCTTTTTGTGAACATCAGGAGCCTTTCTGCTGACGTTAGTGGGCTTTAGATCAAGAGTGTAATCTTCCTTTCGTATTTGTATTCGTGTCTGCAGCATGGTAATTGATCAGAACAAACACGTTCAGCCACATAAATCTTCTTAGGTGGGAGAAGCTCTGGGAGAGGGAGAACAACCCATCTGATACTCATTAGGTGGATACACAATCCTTGCAAGTCATTGCTGGTTTCATTTTCATGTTGGTAAGCTCTGTGTAAATTGGAGAAAATCAGCATGTGAATAACAACACTTGCCATTAGAGCTGCCCTGGCTGCAGGAAGTAAAGGCTTTTGCAAACAGATGATTTCTTCCCTTATTGCACCGTGAGCAAGCTGTCTTTGGAGGAAGGTGGAAGGAAGGAGGCTATGGCCATTTTTAGCATGCATCTGGCCAAAGACCCATGTGGCCCAGACTCCTGTCTCTGACAGTCATCTGTAGCAAGTGCTCAGGGAAGGAGCATGAGAAACAGGGCGAGTATTTACAGAGTTGTATTTACATCACAGTAGTTAATAGCCTTAGAGAGATCCTCATCCAGGAAGTTATCTAATTGCTTTTTGAATCCATTTATCCCTTAGGATAAATACCCACAACATCCTGGTCAGTGACTTCCATAGTTTAATTATCTATTGGATGAAAAAACACTTCCTTCTCTTTGTTTTAAATCTGCTGCTTGATACGGCCATCTGACACCCCCTCCTTCATGTGTTTTGAACAGCAGTGACAAGAGGACAGCTCTTGACTGTCCTCTCCTTGCTGCTCACGACTGTAGAAATCTGTGTAACATCCCCATCAGACATCTCTTTTACAAGCCTCAGAGTCCGGCTCTGTTATTCCCCCTTCCGCCAGCAGCCATGCCGTGTCCCTGTTCATCCTTCCTACTCTACTCTTCTCCTTTTCTAAAACTCGTACTCCTTTCTCAGATGGGGTGGACGGGAATCGCACACAGCACACAAGACGTAGGCTCCCAAGATTAGTGCCCTGGCATAACACGCATTTGCTTTGCTACCTATTCCTTTCCTAATAATTCATAATGCTCTCGTTGCCTTTTTGACCTCTGTGAACCTCTGTCCACAGACCCTCGTGCTGATGTTTTTGAAGGACTATCCACAGTTACTCCAAGATCTTCTTACATGGTAATAGCTAATTTAGAGCCTATTGTATGCGTACAGCTGGAGTTGCTTCTCCCTATATTCATTACTTTGCCTTTATCGACAGTGAACTACATCTGCTGCTTTAACCTTCAGTCACTCAGCATACTGAGATCCTGCTGCACCTCTGCACGGTTTTAATTTTGGCCACTCTGAATAATGCTGTGGCATCGGCCAACCTGGTTGTCTCAGCATTTGCCCTCCTTGAACAGCACAATTCCTTGCACAGATACCAACACAACTCCCCTTGCAAGTCCTTTTTCCAGGCAAATCCTTCCTCCATGTTGCATCCCTCTCAAACCGGAGCCCTTCTACTTCATGACAGTTCAGTTTCTCTATGAGCCTTTGGTGAGAAAACTCGTTAAAAGAGTTTTGGAAATCTCAGCATGTTATATCAGCTGGATCACCCTCTGCCACATGCTTGTTGACTCCTTCAAAGAATTTAAATCTGCCTGTGAGTCATGACTTTCCCTCAAAGCCGTGTTGACTCACTGTAATTGAATGAGAAGCGGCTCCTCTGAGTCATCGCACCCGTTCCCCCACTCCCAGGGCAAGCGCACCGTAGGTTTTTGTGTTCAGCTGGATCCAAAGATGTTCTGCTCCCCACAGCTTCACCCACCAGGCACACAAAGTAATGCCGGACCCCCTTGCTGCAAACCAAACAGATTCAGTTTGAGGGACCAAAAGCTACAACCCAGAGGAAGAAAGCAGAAGAGACATGCGACATCATCAACACCCCGGGTCCTTGCAATAGGAAGGAATGTTTTTGACAGATTAAAGAATTAA